TCCTCCATAGACAGAGCCAATTCTCTGCAGCCATCACTGGTGGCGGCTGGGTGGATTGACACTTCTAGACAGCAGTAGCTCTGCCCTGTGTCTACAAGTGTTAGGCAAAGGAAATATATAGTCCCTACTTTTTTTTACTATTATTCTTCTCTGGGTTGGAATTTCAAGTCTATCTTTATGAAATACTAATGTTTCAGGGTTGGGGGAGCTGGGGTGACATTGCCGCTTGTGACTCCCACCAATCTTGTACAAGCTGGAAATTTTATGTCTTGCCAGTTCACTGAGATTAAATTGTGTTAATACTTACATGTCAATTACCTGCCGTCAATATAATTTATCCCCATTTGATGGGAAATATGGTGGCGCTATTTAAATAATAATAATATGCATGTTAAAATAATAGGAAGATTGTAGTACATGTGTGTCATACGATTTACACACAGCTATGAGTTTAATCACTACACCACAAAGTGTGGAGAACTAATAAGGGCATCGAAAATATAAAACTATCCCAAAACACTCCCCAGCTCAACGCAACATTTTATTTCAGTTCAGTTCACTTATTTTGGTCTAATATTTCATTTCAACAACATTTCAGCAACATTTATTATTTGTGTGTTATTAGTTTAAGCAGACTGTGATTGTCTATTGTTGTGACTTAGATGATGATCAGACCACATTTTATGACCAATTTGTGCAGAAATCCATATCATTCCAAAGGGTTCACATACTTTTTCTTGCAACTGTACTTACATATACACAATCATTCACACGGACTGGCCTGCTATGTCTGGGCCTCACAGGTGAAAGGGTTCAACATAGACATGTAAGAAGTATAATTGAAAAATGCTGTTTCTAGCCTTCCAATCACTATTTATAGGTATTTCTGCATTGAGGGCATATGTTACCGTGTGCACAGTTACACACATTTCCTGTGCTAATTTTGGGAATATAATGATAGTGACTCTGTGAAATTTGAATTTTAACTAGGTTGTTGCGAATATTTCTTTTTTCAGTTTCGGACCTTTGAGTATTCAGGAGCAAGTAACAAACCAAGACAATAAAAAAATGTTAAAATGTTAAATAACATAAATAGAATACTTGTTTATATATATATATATATATAAAACTTAATTATTATACAACGCACTATATATTTCTCCTTGGTTATTATTACTTTATATGCAAACTTCTAACATATTCTGTAGCCTGTCCAAGTATAGTGCACACACTATACAAGTCTCCATGTACACGTACAGCTTTGAAAACAATAGGAGCATTACGATAGGCTGGGTCATTTCCTGGTTTGGTAAAAGGTCACTGCAGAAGATGTACACCTTACAAATTTGCAGTAAATGTGAAAACTTCAAATGTATCATTCTTATTTTTCTTTTTTTATTCTTTATTTTATTTGTGCGAAGGTGGTACAGACAAGCTTGCGGTGCCACAACAGCTAGAGCAAGCCATGCAAACAATATGGAAAACATTTACGTAGTATTTAATATTCCTGCACATTTTTTATGTAGTAATGTAGGGTATCATAATATCTGCATAATATCTAGTGATGGCTCCACCACAAGGGACTCTAAAAGGAAGAGATAGGTTCAGTATACTATAGATTACTGGGCTAGAGAAACATTTGCACTGAGAGATTACTAAGAACAAGAATAAACAAAACATGTTACTTTAACTAATATGGGTTGTTAATATTAGCTTAGCCTTATATCTCCGTGCTAAAGACACTTCAGGCTTAGGTTAAGCCAAGTCCCATGTGTGATCCTCAGCCGATTCCCACCATAGGCAAGACTGTGCCCCTCTCTATGTCACCGTTCAGCAGACTGAGCGTCAGAAATCGAGGGTGGCAAGTCAGGTCCTGTGTTGTTTGCTGGTGTCCACTCCGACCATGATGCTTCTCAGGAGGCCCCCATTTTGGTCGATAGCTAGGAGTAAGCCTCAGTGTTGCACTCCCGAAGTGCTGCCCGCGCGGCCTTCTCCTTTCGAGACAGGCCATCCCGGGCACTGCTGCCATATGTCGGCTGCCGGGACTTCGGAGTCTCACTGTAGGTGAGTATGTTGATGTAGCTTGTGGGGCCGGCTGGAGATATCTGCATAGCAGGTCCTGCCAGAATTCTTTGTAGAGGCAATTCAGCTCTTGCAGTGTTCCAGATTCTCCCTCCGCATAGGGCCTGGAACATGCTTTCTCCGCCATCTTGGATGCTTCCATCGCAGGAACTCCTCGAAACTCTGCAGTGTCGCTTGCCTTTTGTGAATGTAAGGAGCCCTCATAATGAGGACCTGGGATCATCCCTGCCGGTCCATAGGGGGGGGGTAGCGGGGCTTTAGCTTCATCATATTGCAGGTCTGTGCACGTCGGGCCAGGAGATCGGATGCCTCTCCCCGCCACTACGCCCGTGAGGCCTTGCTTGCAGTCAGCATGGTTTGCAGCTTGGATGACCGCAGACCGACCCTGGAGGTAACCACCAGTCGGTCAGTCAATGCAGAGTGCCCAAGTAACTTGTTTTGCTCGAGGTGAGTAGTCATAAGTGCTGGTGACTGGACTAATTTGTGTAGTGCTTTTCAGAAAACACGTCCAGTCTCCATTGCAGTGAGGCCCCGTCCTGTATCATTCTTATTTTATATTTTTTTCTTTGCATTATATAGATCAGTATATCTTTTTTTTGTCACAAATCCTATTTATATACATTTTTCTTTGTTGCTTACCAACGCATTGTGCAAAAATAATGATAGTGACTCTTTTTTTGACTTTATGCAGTTAATATAAAATGAAGTTTGAAGTGCTAAAAATGAAAACCTTTTTCAGTGGACTCTTCCCAGTTTTATTAGAGTCGCCAATTACTGGAGAAAGCAATGCATCTACAGCAAACAATGTATTGTGGGTTATTGTCTAGTGCTTGATAAATGTCATCTACCTATAACCGCTAAAGAATTACCATTAAAGGGACACTATAGTCACCAGAACAAGAACAGCTTATTGCACTTGGTGAGTAGAATCATTCCCTTCAGGCTTTTTGCACTAAACACTGTCTTTTCAGAGAAAATGCAGTGTTTACATTACAGCCTAGTGATAACTTCACTGGCCACTCCTCAGATATATACTAGAGACGCTTACTGGGGCAGTGCACTTCCATTCAGTGTCTCCACCCTGTGCATGGAGACACTAAACTTTCCTCACAGAGATGCATTGATTGAATGCATTTCTATGAGGAGATGCTGATTGGCCAGGGCTGTGTTTGACTTGTGCTGCCTCTGCCCCTGATCTTCCTCCTTGAAAAGCTCAGCCAATCCATTTTTTTCCTATGGAAATGCATTGTGATTGGCTCAGATCAACACATCTGATGTCAGCCAAGGAGGCAGATCAGGGTCAGAGCCAGCAGCAGCAGACTGGAATACAAGTAAGACTTTACCATATTTAGGGGGTAAGTGGGGCATTGGGGGGTCTAGATGGTGTTTTTAACACTGTAGGGTCATTAATACATATTTGTGTTACTCACCCTTTAGTGTTCTTTTAACAATGGATTGGTATCTAGAATGGGTCGATATGTCAGTTTAAAGAACCAGATACAGACTTAGAATTAAAAATGAGGACAACTACAGTTGGAGTATTCTTTTAAGCATTGCATAGCTTAAATATTGTAATGGAGTTTTATATTCTAAAACAAATATAGGCAAGTGTGGGAAGCACTGTATTCATGTTTCAATGCAATCTATAATTTGTGTGTGGGCTTTCATACACCAGATATACTGCCTGACAATTTTATTATAGGATAACACTAGTATCTCTTGTTCTTTGTAACTGTAAAGTGTAATAAAATTATTTTTTTCCCATGTGCACGCTATTTAAATGAATGCACTCTTTTGTAGAAATAAAAGGTTTTGTTCTGTAAAAAAAATGATTATCTCACAAATGTACAGGATTTATAACATGGTTAAACACTTTGTTGTTATTATTATTTCCCTTTGCTATAACTCGAATGTATCTTGGTTCATGTGGACGGGAAAGAACCAAGGAAGGGATTGTATGAAGCTGTGCACCAGAAAGACAAGGGATTTGGGTCGTATAGTTGTTAAAATCTAATATGAGAAGGAATCCTAGGTCTGACTACAGAGTGACTTTTTAGCATAATAGCTAGTGGAATTTCATATAAGAGATTTGGAAATTATAATTCTTACATTGGTTATATGTTCATGTTACCGTTTTTTCTCTCAAATTCTTAGAGATGATATGATTGTTTGATTTATGGCAAGTAACAGGTAATTTGCATAATTGAGGGAATTAATACTTCAGATGAACCCATACTGCAGTCGAGCAGGTTATTTTTCAATTGTGTTTTGAAATCTGACTAAATATCTTGGCACTTTATCCACGGTGCTTGTTATGTTAGGACCTCTAAAAAACAATGGACAAAAGGTTCCAAGACCAACCATGTAAGACTGAACAGGAGTCATAGGCATCAGTGTCCTCTGGCATTGGCAGGGTTTGAACTTTCTTGAGGCAACTTCTGTGGTCTAAAGTAGGAGTTCTGAAGTAGAGTACTGAAGGAAAATGTGGTATATAGATTGCTAGTATCATTCATGACTGCTGAAAGTGAATAGCTTGTGAAAATGATTTAGAGTACACAAGCAAGCGCTGTATTGGATTGAGGGTCACCAATGGACCAAAGGAGAAGTTCCACAATTTTATAGACTCTATTTACTAATTAATTTGAAGGTGTCAGTTGCACACTCCATATGGACGAAATCTGAGTTTTGTCCACTTTTTAGCAAACTAGCACCTGAGTTGAAAATATAGCACCTTTCTAATCCCACCCCAATTTCTAAGCTTCGGGGACTATGATAGATATCTAAAATACATTTTTTAAATTGTTAATTGTTGACCAACTGTAATATTCCAAGAAAATCCTCAACTGAATCTCTCAATCAAGCATAGAATGTCTGACAATTAGATGAATATGTTTTTAGTGAATTTACAAGGATTGGTTCTCTTGGTCTCCTAAGCATGCCCTTGTGTGATTATCAATATACGTTAAATATATTAATATTGTTGTTATATTAATACGGTCGTTATAATTTGCTTGAACATTAATCTACTTGTCGTGCCACTATTCATGTAAGTAGCAAATGTACTAATCTAACTCATTGGTTGAACCTACTGAGATTGAAAGCCTACTGATTGCATTTCAGTACATACCACACGAAAATATAAAAAATGCATCTGAAACAGCACATACTGAGGCAGAAATATCCCAGATGCTGGAGGCATCTGACAAACATTTTAGGAGTGGCAGTCCACAACAGTTGCTGCACTCTAATGTTGTGTATTCTTCTGCTGAGAAATAATCAGGTATATTACTGCTCAGAGATTTATTATAATAAACTAGAAACATATGGCCGAATTTCCTCCCAGATGTGGGCAGACAAGGAAGGGAGGAGCAAAGGTCATCCAGAGAAATAATTCTCCTAAGGTGCACATTTCAGCTGCTTGCTTTGGCATTGGTGATATTTAACGTCCTGTTTGCTGGTGAGAGGTAGGCAAAAGCACTTGCAACGGAACTAATTGTAATTTCTCTACAACCACTTAACTGAATGAGTTAAATACTTCAGCAGAATGATCAATAAGAAATCACTCTAATAAAATCCTACGCACGCCTGTTTGTCATCTAATGCAAAAAAGAACTATTGTGGCCACCTAGGTAACTGCTTGAAGTATAACTCACATCTGTAGATAAAAATGGTACTCTGGAAAGGATGGGGACTGAGATATGTATCCATCTGGTGAAATAAAATTGGAGGTGGTTACTGGTGAGTGTATTTAATGGTTGCACATTAATAGGTGACAAATACAATTATCACATAAAATCCTTAATTTGTCACATAGCATTCAAACAAACAGAATAAAAACAAAATAAACAGCATATGAATGCCTCATACACTATTTAAATAGAATACATATTGCTATTATCTGCTGACATGGATAAACCGCTTATAAACCTGTAAAGGATTGCCGATCTCTACATGTAGAAAAAAAAGGGACTGAAAAAGCAAATTATTGGGGAATTACAAATTAAGTATGCAAAAAATATCTTAAATGTACTTATTTTATGAATGTTTCACCTTGTATCAAAATAAGGGAAGAACAAAAACTGCTTGTTAGGTAACATATAAATATATCAAGTAATATATATATATACATATAAAGTGTTTTACAAAGAAGAATATTTGTTTGAGATATCCCTTATTTTCAAGTATGCCAGATCATAAATAACCCTTAGAAGTTGTTACAGGTAGTATGGTGCAAGGGGGTCAAGCCAACTCCAGTTTCAGCAAGTTACCACATTTTTTATAGACCCCTATTATTATTATTAATAATAAAATATTTTACCAGGAAAGATACATTGAGATTTCTCTCATATTCAAGTATGTCCTGGGCCCACAAAACATTGCATTGATACAATAGGGTACAATAAAATAGTAATACACAATATATACAAAATTTAACATAGAACAGGTAAGAAATATATAATCAACCATGAGATGTGCATCCTGTTTTTTGAGGTATGTAGAGAGGGATCTCTTAAAGGACTTTAGGCTTAGGGAAGATTTGAAATTGTGCAGGAGGTCGTTCCATAATTGCGGTGCTTTGTAGGAAAAGGAGGATCGGGCTGCTTTCTTTTTGTATTGAGGTAGACTAAATAAAGTGCTGGTACTGGATCGGAGGTTATAGGAGGTGGGAACAGCCGGGGAGAGCATTCTGCTCAGGTAGGGTGGGAGCTTCCGAGAAAAGCTCTTAAACACAAGGCTGGAAAGATGAAGGGTGCGTCTGGATTCCAGCGACAGCCAGTTAAGTTCTTTTAGCATGTCAGAATGGTGGGTCCTGTAATTACATTGTAGCACAAGTCGGCAGAAGAGGTTATACAATGTGTTGAGTTTATTAAGGTGGATTTGCGATGCAGATGCATATACTACATCCACATAATCAATGATTGGCATCAGCATTTGCTGTACAATCTTTCCCTTTACTGTAGGGCTTAGGCAGGATTTGTTTCTGTACAGGGCACCTAGTTTTTAGATGCAAGTTTTTCTATGTGGAGGACAAAAGATAGATTGCGGTCTAAAAACATACAAAGTTGCTGGTTTATGGCACCTCTAATAATGTTATTGAAATTGCACTCCAAACGTTTCTATTTTCTTGTGAATGTTAACTTTATAAGGAACTACCCAAAGAATTAAAAAAAAATCAACATACAAAAGAAAATTAAAAAAAAAATCGGTTTATAGTGAATTGCTGTCCTCTGGTAATTTCATAGCTGTGTGGGGATGATGGAGTCTTTGGTTATCAAGTGCTTAAAGCACTTACCCTAAGCACCATGACCACTTCAGTGATTTTAAGTGGTCACAGTGACAGGAGACCGCAACTGCAGCGTTTGCATTTATTCACTGCCCACCAAAGTAATGGTAACCAGAAATAGCCTTTTATGGAAAAAAAATGTTTTTTGGTTTGAGTAATCTTTTATAGGCATATACAGGGCTGGAGCTGACCCACCCTTTATTGATGATACATATAGATAGATACATATCAAAATATGCAGAAGACAAAAAATAAATAAAAAAATATATAAACTTTGATGAGTTTGTATATACTGCAAATCCTGTCTTCTGCAATCAGTAAATTCTCATCAAACTAAAAGCAGGCCAGTACACCATGATGCTCCCCCTTAGCTTTCTACAAAAGACTATGGATACTGCTTATGGGAACTGTAGTTCACCTGTCAGATTTCTATTGTACAAAGCTGCCAGCTGAACTACAACTCCCTTAGAACCATGTGGTGCCTCTCAGACAGTTCAACTTGCCACTGCAAAATTGAAAAAATAATGGAAATGCAGCAGGTTAGAAGGAGCAACAGGCTTAAATTATTAGAAATAGTTTTAACTGAAACAATTATTAAAATAAATCCACTGTAAACTGCAATCCAGCCTACATATTTCACATTTCCCCAAACCTAACTCTTACATTAGTGTTATCCTTTTTTAGTTACAATCATGCTATAATTCCATTGAGCAATAAGATCCATTTGGTTAATTTCAGTTGTTTGCAAATACAGTGAATCATAGAAGAAATCTAGGAACAGACTACAGGAAGAATTAAGATGAATGCAATCATCTTAAATTCTAAAATAAAATACTACATTTAGTGAATCTACCCCTGAGTGGTTACCACTAGTTTACGCTCTGGATTTCCATCAAGATATAGGCACATTTTCCAATTATTTGTCATAGCAACTCAACCTCGGCATCAGAAAAAAAGGTTTGCACAGCATATGTGCAATTCACCCAGGACTACCTGAGCAAGTCACCTTTAGTGTTTGCATATAAATGAGTTGCCACATTTCCCAGAGTAATTTATTGAAAATGACACTTACCATGTCCTACAAGTAGGATGTATTGAGAGTTTGCAGTTGCTAGCTTGCTTTATCTTATTTACACCTGTGAATAAGCCAGGTAAAATTTAAGTCAGATAGCAACAGTGGTTATAATTATTATCTAGCATAGAAACTAGATCAGGGATAGGCAACCTTCGGCACTGCAGATGTTTTGTAATACATCTCCCATGATGCTTTGCCAGCATTATAGTAGTAAGAGCATTGTGGGAGATGTAGTCCACAACATCTGGAGTGCCGAAGGTTGCCTACCCCTGAACTAGATATTACACACACGCTGAAGCAAATTATATTGAATTGTGAAAACGGAGGACAAAATAGAGAATGTTTCTAAATTAGATATTTTCCTCTACATTTTCTAATTCAGTTTTCGACTCAATACAGTTCAATGATTAGTGAGTAAATACTTTCAAATTTTTGTTCTATGTACCTACATTTACAAGGAGAATGAGAACATAAGTGATGATTGTACAATAAAACTATTCATTTTCTACATCTCTGTAAATGTATTTGATGATTGTAAGGCCACATTATTTTAGTGTTTAAATAAATTGGTCTGCCAATAAACCTCCATATGGTCATTTCTAGAAAAAGGTTAAACAAACTAAAAATCAGTGGATGCCCCGTGTTGGGAATGTTCCCCTGAGAATCAAGGTTCACTTCAGCTTCTGAACAAATGTTTTCAGGGAAGAGGCACTCTTAGACCTCCATTAAACAAGAGGTTTGACAAATATTTCTACTACGTCTCATTTTTCTTTAAGCATTTCAATACTGATATAGTTTTTTTCATCTCAGTTAGACTAGTACGGTACAACACATACTGAAGAATGGAACACATTAATAAAAATGATCACAATAAGGTACTGTGCTTATTAACAGAGCTATACTATCTTACTTTGGTCAGTTAAATACAAGATAATAAAGTATAAAAATATAACGATGTAATATGAAAAATATAGAAATTTAAGATACAAGAAACATTGTACATAGGACAATGACTCCTCAATCCCCTTGAAAGTAGGCACCTATGGACCTCACACAGTTCTCCCAGCATCTCTTCCACTGTTCAAAACACCCTGCAAAATCCTTTATTTTAAATCGCTGCCGTGTCGTATTTACCTGAATCTCATCGACAGACTAAAATCTCTTCGATTTCAAAGGCGATTTTAGTTTGGGGACAGCCAGAAGTCACTGGGCACCACATCTGGGCTGTAGGTGATTTTATTTGCGCTGCACTCATTGCAACGTCACCGAATAGCCTTTTGAATCATTCAAATAGTTTCCGAGGAGGAATAGTCAAGCTTAAAGCAAAATTTGATGCAGATTCTCGCGATCATTTTGAATGGGACATACTCAACGGTCTAGCGCCACCAATGGCTAGTACAGTGAAGTTGTCATTGTTTACGCATGCTCATTCCAGTCCACTCTCCTTAACTGTCAGGTTACATCGATGTTGCTCAAACCGTTCTCATTATATTAACAATGGCTGAACTTTTTCCGGACAGTACTCGAAGGTTGCGAGAGTAGCACCTGAAAAAATATGTGGTACATTGGTGTTTTGACAGGCTTGTGCAGTGTATTATCATATATTGTAAGTAAACCCCCATTATTTTTGCCTAAGTCAAGTGGTTTTTTAAGTATTAAATTCTAGGAATTTTGAAGTTGCTGTTTAGTGAGCGCGCTGGTTTGTGTGTGTATCTATCTATATATACATACACACACCGCACACATGTATGACTAAAACTGTCCACTCACCCACTAGCATAGGCTAGAAGAAAACCTCTCAAGAAAGCTCTGATAAGTATACCATGAATCCCTCCTGTCCACGTGGATTTTTGTGCCGTTTGGAAGCAGCAGTTTATTATAACAGTAGCAGGTTTGTGCTTCCTCGTCTCGCGTCCAACAGGTCTTTTCCCCACAATTAATGGTGCCTAGCACTAGCACAGTTAATAAACAGAGAGAGGCATCAACCCTTTTAACCTCTGCATTGCTTGGCTTTGCTTTACATTAACATCCCCCTTATCCTGCTGGAGAAGGCAAGATGTGGCACGGGCATAAGGTGGAACCGAAGGAAGTTGTAAGACTATACGAAAACAGTTTGAAATCTTACTCTGTGTCTTAGCCATGTTTCCCAGGACAAATCACTTTTTACATAAAAAGTGCTACCCTGTAGGGTTTGTAATTAAATCATTAAAGGACCATTATAGTGCCAGGAAAACATACTCGTCCCACTCGTCCCCAATGCGCGCGCATTTAGCCTGTCTCATAGGAAAGCATTCATAATGGACGCTTGCGTCTTCTTACTGTGATTTTCACAGTGAGAAGCACGCAAACGCCTCTAGCGGCTGTCAATAAGACAGCCCCTAGAGGCTTTAGAGCTTGGATTAACCCTATTATAAACATAGCAGTTTCTCTGAAACTGCTATGTTTATTAAAAAAAAGGGTTAATCCTAGAGGCACCTGGCACCCAGACCACTTCATTAAGCTGAAGTGGTCTGGGTGCCTAGAGTGGTCCTTTAATAGATACATTTCATTCAGGATTCTACTTGGATTAATGAACTGATTCCTTTCTGCAGCATACCCATTTCACATAGCTACAAATAGAGAAGCACTTTTCTTGTGCAGTCCATCCATCCAGACTCCTGGAGGTGACATGGCTGCTATGAGTGTGGTGGGATGGTGAAGAGTAAATGCTAGATATAAATAGCTTAATCCTGGCTTTTCATCTACAGGGAGCTCACTTCACTAGTTTGGCTCAGTACAACACTGCGGCTATGGACAATCCATAGTCAAACTTCCATGGTGTGCAATGGCTGTGGAAATTGACAATAGATAAAGACCATGAGACAAAACAGTCCTTACTGTGTCCAATGATACTGATCTTTCAATATAATTCTATCTATAGTCAACATACATATTTCATTAAGATTTTATATTTATAGAATACTCATGAACTGACAGAGAAGTTTTAGCAGTGTTCATCACTAAAGTGTGGCTTTATCGTGAACCACAAATTTTACACCAAATCAGCAGAATTGGAAAAATAATAAATAATTCCAGTTTTAGCTATTTTGGCCTAAAATTGAAAGCCACTTGAATTCCCAAATATGCACACTATAGCAAATAATCCTGCCTGGAGTCTATTCATTTAACAACGTGGCTTTATCCACAGCTTGGAAATTTTAGAAAACGCGGCACAGCATGTAAAAGAACTTAATGGAAAAAAAAAAAAAAGATATCTGGGGAATGAATATCCTGGTAGTGCAAATTTATTACAATATTACGAACATGGCATGCCCACCATAATAAACAACAGTGATAAGTATTGCAGCTAACGCATCTCTGCACTGAGCATCAAAAAAAGAGGTGCGGTGGGGGGAGGGAGAACAAAAAAAAAAATAACAACAAACTGGAATCTGACCGCGTTTCCACGTTTTACACTACTTGTCGCTTTCTCAGCCCATTTTCATTATTATTATTATTTTTTTAAACAAATCTTCTTTTCCCTTATTTGCGTACTTTTTTGTATTATTATTATTATTGCCATTTATATAGCGCCAACAGATTCCGTAGCGCTTTACAATATTATGAGAGGGGATTTAACTATAAATAGGACAATTACAAATAAACTTACAGGAACAATAGGTTGAAGAGGACCCTGCTCAATCGAGCTTACATTCTATAGGAGGTGGGGTGTAAAACACATTAGGACAGGAATTTGCAATCAAATAAGGTGGGCTGCCCTTTAGGAGAGGGCAAGAGACGGGTATGTGAGGTAGGGGTTAGTCTTGGAGGCCATAAGCTTTCCTAAAGAGATGGGTTTTAAGGCACTTCTTAAAAGATGCAAGACTAGGGGAGAGTGGGATGGCGGTAGGCAGGCTATGTGGTTATTTTAGTATATTGTTGTGTATTTTTTATTTTCAGTTACCAATGTTTTGCATACATTCCATGAAGTTATTGTTCGGTGTCAGCTATAGTTACAGAGTGCCTGTTTTATCCTGAGGTTAGCAATTCACAGTATTGGTATGAAAAGTCAGAAATTCACATTTTTACATTAAAATGCCCAAACTGAGCCACCCCCCCCCCACCCCCCAGGGGGGCTGAACATCATGGGAGTATTAGTTCACACCAGCTATGCACACTGAGGCCACACACAGCCTGTTTATAACTATTTAACACAGGGAAAACCAAACACAGGTTTGTGGAACTACAACTCCCGTGATGCTTTGCAGGTCTCAGAACGCTGCAGTCCTATATCAGTCTGTGCTGCAATGCTCCCTCTCGGTCCCCTCGCCCGCTAACGATGACAGGACACCGCTACCAGCGCCGCCAGCTGTTACCGAGCGACTCGCAACCGGATTTGCTGACTTCCGGTAAAAGGGGGGGGTGCGTGTTGTTGACATGACGTCACGTCCGGCTCTGCCTGGCACACCCGGAAGTGTCGAGCTGGTTCCCACGCTGCAGTGGAAGCTGCCCAGGAGGAGGAGGCGGCGGCTGGATCCTGATGGGGAGCTGACTGTGTAAGTCTCACACTCACACTCACACTCACACTCACTGCAGCCCCCCAGCACCCAGGGTCCCCATACAGGGACAGCCAGGCCATATACTGACTGTGACTGGCACCCCATGGAGTCAGCCAGCTGCAGGACATATATAATATAGAAATAGTGTCATCATTTATAATTCATGTTTCTGCCCAGGGTCCCCCATACAGGGACAGCCAGGCCATATACTGACTGTGACTGGCACCCCATGGAGTCAGCCAGCTGCAGGACATATATAATATAGAAATAGTGTCATCATTTATAATTCATGTTTCTTCCCAGGGTCCCCATACAGGGACAGCCAGGCCATATACTGACTGTGACAGGCACCCCATGGAGTCAGCCAGCTGCAGGACATATATAATATAGAAATAGTGTCATCATTTATAATTCATGTTTCTGTCCAGGGTCCCCATACTGGGGACAGCCAGGCCATATACTGACTGTGACAGGCACCCCATGGAGTCAGCCAGCTGCAGGACATATATAATATAGAAATAGCGTCATCATTTCTAATTCATGTTTCTGTCCAGGGTCCCCATACTGGGGACAGCCAGGCCATATACTGACTGTGACAGGCACCCCATGGAGTCAGCCAGCTGCAGGACATATATAATATAGAAATAGTGTCATCATTTATAATTCATGTTTCTGCCCAGGGTCCCCATACAGGGACAGCCAGGCCATATACTGACTGTGACAGGCACCCCATGGAGTCAGCCAGCTGCAGGACATATATAATATAGAAATAGTGTCATCATTTATAATTCATGTTTCTGCCCAGGGTCCCCATACAGGGACAGCCAGGCCATATACTGACTGTGACAGGCACCCCATGGAGTCAGCCAGCTGCAGGACATATATAATATAGAAATAGTGTCATCATTTATAATTCATGTTTCTGCCCAGGGTCCCCATACAGGGGGCAGCCAGGCCATATACTGACTGTGACAGGCACCCCATGGAGTCAGCCAGCTGCAGGACATATATAATATAGAAATAGTGTCATCATTTATAATTCATGTTTCTGCCCAGGGTCCCCATACAGGGGACAGCCAGGCCATATACTGACTGTGACAGGCACCCCATGGAATCAGCCAGCTGCAGGACATTTATAATATAGAAATAGTGTCATCATTTATAATTCATATTTTTGCCCAGGGTCCCCATATAGGGGGCAGCCAGGCCATATACTGACTGTGACAGGCACCCTATGGAGTCAGCCAGCTGCAGGACATATATAATTTATCATTCATGTTTCTGCCCAGGGTTCTCATACAGGGGTTTCTACCCAGGGCAGTATGACATATGTCCATATACACTATATTCTCCTGGTGTCCATGTATGTACACAGACCAATATCAGTTAATTCTCCATTGGTTTAATTCCTCTATTACAAATAGAATTTAAATCATTGTACTCTGTACCAAATGCAATGCATTAGAATAAGACTTTATTAATGTAATTATATTTCATAGGTGTTCGTGTTTATATCTACTCAAATCTGTGTCTTATATGTGCCCCTAGACTGCATTCCCATCTGTAATTTTCCTGTGTGGTCTCCATATCTACACACATAAACCCACAACAGTATTTATTTACTTATTTGTGTGTGTCCATTGACTCTTTCCTTGTGGTTTATGGTTTTATTATTGTATAGAAACCTGTATTTCCTGTGTATTTGTAAATTGTTTTTTTATCTGTAATTTCTTCATCTTGCATGTATAGTATGTTAGTGCATTGTATTGGAAAATAAACATTCCAGTACCATATTATAACAGTACCTGGTTCTGGTAATATCCATTATTGTCTCTTGTCTATATTTAATGTATTTCATGTACAAAGTATTGGCCAGTAGATCAGAAAATACTCCAGAGCATTAATTTGATCACAGGACCTTCTTCATGCGATAATACCATAGTACTTTTTCTCAGAAGAATTCATTGATATGTTTTTTTCCCAAAAAGAAAATGTCATCTGTTTATGTTGCATGTTCATGGTTGTAATGGACATACTGGGCAAGCATGACCATATTGACTGTGACATAATACATCCAATGCATTAGTACAGCTGGCAGGCAAATACATTAGAAATAGTGTCATCATTTATATTCATGTTTCTCAGGGTCCCCAATACAGGGGGCAGGCAGGCCATATACTGACTGTGACAGGCACCCCATGGAATCAGCCAGCTGCAGGCCATATATAATATAGAAATAGTGTCATCATTTATAATTCATGTTTCTGCCCAGGGTCCCCAATACAGGGGGCAGGCAGGCCATATACTGACTGTGACAGGCACCCCATGGAATCAGCCAGCTGCAGGACATTTATAATATAGAAATAGTGTCATCATTTATAATTCATGTTTCTGCCCAGGGTAATACAGGGGGCAGCAGGCCATATACTGACTGTGACAGTCACCCCATGGAGTCAGCCAGCTGCAGGACATATATAATATAGAAATAGTGTCATCATTTATAATTCATGTTTCTTCCCAGGGTCCCCATACAGGGGACAGCCAGGCCATATACTGACTGTGACAGGCACCCCATGGAATCAGCCAGCTGCAGGACATTTATAATATAGAAATAGTGTCATCATTTATAATTCATATTTTTGCCCAGGGTCCCCACTGATGACAGGGGAGGCCAGCCAGGACCATCATGTGACTGTGCATGTATGCACTTGGAGTCAGCCAAATGCAATGCAGGACATTAATGTAATTATATTTATCTACTCATCTGTGTTCTCTGCATTCCCATCTGTAAGTGGTCTCATCTACTTTTTTACCCAATTGTTTAGTATGTTAGTGCATTGTACCATATTATAACAGTATCCATATGTCTCCTTGTGTGTATTCCACTGTTTATTCATGCACCATAGTACATTGATATCCCAGAAAATGTCAATGTTGCTCACATTGGTTTATATTGATGTGACATAATACATCCAATGCATTTACAAGAGTTGCAAAGACAGTTTTCCAAATTCTTTCGTCGAACATCGTTGTTTCATGCAAGATTGCTAAAATGCAGCATTTAGAATTAGTATTGACTTTGTGCAGCTATGTAATTATAAAAGTTTCTATAGTAGATTGCAGTGTGTTCTTCAAAATTTTACTTCTCACTAAATTCATAACTGATGTCTTATTTAAGTTGGTGTCACCTATACCTTGACATTCCACTTTAAGAATAATAACTTATCCTAATGCATTGTGAGTACTCCTACTCTCTCTACACAAACATAAAACAGCCACAATAAATAAATAGCAGTGACATTTATATATACTTTACTTTGTTTATAGAATTGTGTGACTCATCGTGACTCATATTCCATTTTTGTGGTGTGTAAATAAGCATCTGTGTGTTTTGCTGCATTTATATAGCATCATTAAGAATGATAATTATCTCTACTAGATTTTCTTTACTAAAGTTTCTTTGTACAGTACATTTGCCATATCAGATCCCCTGTTGCTTTTGTAATTTCTGATAATTTCTCTTCTTATATTCCCAGGCTTAAAGAGAAGACTGACATTGTGATAGTTCAATCATGTTGGAGTCCTATGTGACTCCAATCTTAATGAGCTATGTGAATCGCTACATTAAAAATTTGAAGCCTTCAGACTTACAGCTTTCACTCTGGGGAGGAGATGTGGTTCTCAGCAAACTTGAATTAAAATTAGATGTTCTTGAGCAGGTAAATAATCTTACAATGTATTATTTATGTTTTCTAATGAACTGATTTTCATTCTCTAGTACCGTATATACTCGAGTATAAGTCGACCTGATATAAGTCAGGGCCCCTAATTTTACCCCAAAAAACTGGGAAAACTTATTGATTCGAGTATAAGACTAGGGTGGGAAATGCAGCTACTGGTAAATTTCTAAATAAAATTATATCCCCCCCCCAAAATTATATTAATTGAATATTTATTTACAGTGTGTGTATATAATGAATGCAGTGTGTGTGTTTGTGTAGTGTGTGTGTGTATATAATGAATGCAGTGTGTGTATATGAATGCTGGGTGTATATAATGCAGTGTGTGTTTGTGTATGTGATGCAGAGTGTGTAATCTTGGTGGGGGGTGGGCATTTTTATTATTATTTTAATAAATTTTAATTTTAATATTTAATTTTTTTATTTTATATTATTATTTACATTTTTATTTTTATTTTTTTGTCTCCCCTCCCTGCTTGCTAGCTGACCGGGGGGGGGAGGGCAGTATTATTCCCTGGTGGTCCATTGGATGGGCTGTGTAGGAGGGGGGGCTGGCAGCGAGCTGTTACTTACCTTTACAGCAGCTCCTGTCAACTCCCTTCTCTTCCGTTCCTGTCAGCTCCACTGTAAATCTCGTGGTCTGCGTGCCGCGCGGAGCATTGCCACGGTAATCCATGGCAATGCTCAGACGTCGCGGCTCTCGCGAGACTTACACTGGAACGCACGGAGGAGAAGGGAACTGACAG